TAAAAGAGGTGTTCAAACATATTGTATTACAATTAAGTTAATTTATTAGGTTATTGTAATCAGACAATATTTTTTCAAGGTTTGGAACCAGTCGGCAAGCAAAAAACCATAAATTGCGATTGATACACAAATCCGGAGTGCTGGATCCCGATTAAATTAGGTTAAATTTGTCTCCATCTGTTTTGGAAAAAGGAAAATCCGGTACAAGCCTATTCAAAACAACCTCTTCAACTTCTGTCTAGACTAAACAAATGAGCACTTGAATATGTCCTGAATGACTTCTAGAACTTTTGTTGAGATTTGCACAACTTAGCACACACACACACACGCACGGATACACACACGCACACATACATTTATATATTTCACGCACACACAAACTAAACATACAAAACATTTATACAAACAAACCATGTACACATCTGTAGACATAAAACAATGTGTTACGTTCTCTCACATGTTATATATACATACATATACATATATACATAATAGAATTATTTTTATTTAGTACTTTTATTAATGTAGTTAATGTCATTAAGAATTTTACGGTTAATGATGTTATTGCATTGATTCTGTTTTTGTCTTCCATGCCATCAAAGTTGATGATGTATTTTGCTGGTGTTAATGCTGTTGTTGTCGTTGTTGTTGTAATTGTTGTTGTTGTTGTTTTTGTTAATTTGATGTTGTTGTTGTTATGTTGTTGCTGTTGTGTTGAAAGTTGTCGAACGTTTAAAATCGACAAGATGACTCGTCATTACATTAAACAGATCCAAACGACCATACATACATTTGCCGTTATTAACTTTATCTGTCCCCAAACTGCGCTGATGATGATGATGAAGATGGTGATAATGATGGAGAAGATGATGACGATGATGATGAAGATGATGAGGATGAAAATAGTAATGATGAGGATGATGAAGATGAAGATGATAATCGTCATCATCATTCGCATTATCAGCAGAGTTATCATCATCATCTTCATCATCATCTTTCACATCATCATCTTCTTCATCATCATCTTTCACATCGTCATCTTCATCTTCTTCTTTTTCTTCTTCATCATCATCATTATCATCGTTATTATTGCTGTCACTGAAGGCAATAACAATTAAAACAAAGATAAAACATTGATAATAACAATAATAATTAACGATTTAAATGCTCATGGTTTCATTTCATTTATTTCATTTCGTCTTTAAAAAAACCTGTTTTATCATTGTTTTATAGCCTTCTGTGAAAAAACCCCACAACAACAACAACAACAACAACAACAACAACAACAACAACAACAACAACAACAACAACAACAACAACAACAACAACAATAATAATGGTATAGTAGTAATAATGATAACGATGATTATTGAGCATATTTATGATGATGATTATGACGATAAGACAGCCATCTTTATCGCTGGTATATTCTCCCAAACACTTAAGTACATGAGTCGTTATTCATTTGCTTTCCCAAACATATATTCATCCATTTTTCATTCTTTTCACTCGTTCATTCGTTCGTTAGCTCGTTCGTTTGTTTTTTTATTCGTTCGTTTGTTAGTTCGTTCGATTGTTTGTTCGTTCGTTCATTTTCTCGATGGTCTGTTTTTATTGTATGTTTTTTAAATAATTTTTGTGTGATTACGTATTTTTGTTTTATAATTTTAAAATTGCTTAGTCCTTCTGTCATGATGTCTTTAAAGTGTTATAAATTTGATCAACTTTTGTTAAATTTATCAAAAATTTGCTTAAAATATGATATTTTTATCAAAAAAATTACAGAATTTTTAAAATATTATATTTTAATGTGTCACGTTTGCATCTAATGTTATATTCAGCATGTCTGTTTATTTTTAAATGCTATCAAATTATTTGATCATATTTTTTCCCCATTAATTCATCCATTTCATTGTTCTTCAAGTCATTCATCCTTTACTTGCTATCTATCCAATATCAACGGATTGAAACGGCCAATCATTCAACTGGTTGTAAAATTGTTTGTTTGAACACTCAGTCTGAACTTGTCCGTTCGTTCATTCATCCAACCATTCGTCCATCTATCCATTATTTTATTCATTCATTCATCCCTCTTTATCCATCGCTATCCATCTTTTCATTCATCTTACCATCCGTCCGTCCGTCCGTCCGTCCATCTAATAATTTTATATTACCAACAATTCCTTTCAATACCTCGTTTATTTGTCCAACTGAACTTTTATTTATTCACTCACTCATTCATTAATATATCCATTTATTCATTTTTTATCTGTTTTTCTGCCTGTCTGTCTGTCTGTGTCTCTAAGAATCTGGTCAGACAATGTTATTATTTATTTCACGTACGCATCAAATCACGAGGTTATTCTTTATCAATTCTTTTATTCAGCTACCTATCATTCGTATATCCATCTATCTATCTATCTATCCATCTATGCAATTATCCATCCATCTATCCATCCATTTATTCATCCATCTATCAGTCTATCTGTTCATTCCTCCACTCTCCATCACAACACTCCTCATCATTCATTATTCATTCATGTCCATAACTATGCTAAACTTGCTACTATCAGATTAACACACACACGCACGCACACAGACACACACACACATATAAACACAAACATGCATACATACAATAAACACCTATGGATGAGCGTGGGTTAATATAAACGAACGAATAAACAAATATAGAAGATGACAAATTATTAAACTTTACAAAAATATTGAAGTATTTTTAATACAGAAAAATAATAAAAAAAATCATTTTTATATGGATTTACGCACGCACATACACACGCTCACCTACATCTACTCACGCACACGCACGCACGCACACCTACACACACACACGTTTGAACGTACGTATGTACACGTATGCGTATTAATTCACGCAAGTATATTCACTTCTGTACACACACCTCACCTACCTACCTACCTACCTACCTACCTACCTACCTACCTACCTACCTACCTACCTACCTACCTACCTACCTACCTACCTACCTACCTACCTACCTGCCTACCTGCCTACCTACCTACCACAATGTTAATGTAGCACATCCAAACTTTTTTGATAAGCAAGGTTGGTACTTGAGATAAACAGTTATGAAGCATTGCTTTTATTAAGAACGCTTCCATCATCATTCTTACACATCTGC